TTCTACATTATTCTTTAGCGTTGCATAGTATTCCATTGTGTGAATGTACCAAAGTTTGGTTATCCATTCCTCAGTTGTTGGACATCTAGGTTGTTTCCACAGTCATCTCTTAGGCTGTGAGTTGGTTACTCTAGAATTTTTCTTCCCAGGGTATCAAGCTCTTCACCTTTGAGTGAGTCATTTAGGTGCTGTCAGAATCTCTCGGTTCTAACCTGCTGCTGGTTGGTGGTTGATTGATTCAGTAACAGAAAAATCTGTCCACCTCAGGAGTTTTTCTAAAAACAACCAGTAATGACTTTCTTCCATTAAACTACCACTCAAAGGAAATTTTTGCTTGAGTTGACAAATGTGTTATGACAAAAAAATAAGAAAGAATAGATAGGAAAAGTAAATAAATAAGTGAGACAGGTGATAAAGGTACATGAAGAATTGTAGTGCAATGACTGGCACAAAGCATATATTCAAAGTATAGCCTGTTGTTTTTCATATTTATCATATAATTATGACTTTCTAGCAGACAGTCTTAATCCTTTTTCTGTAGATGAGAGAAATAATACCTTTAAAAAAAAAAAGTTGCCACTTTAGTGTTCCCTTTTCTGAATCTTTATGGGGGGAATGCAAGTGTCTATTGTAACAATGACCCTCAACCAGATGGAGGAAATGATTTCTCTTTGTTAGGCCTTGTGTCCCGACACCGCCTCGAGGAGGAGGACCAGTATTGGCTGAGTATGGGCAGAACGTTCCACAAAGTGACACTGAAGGATAAAATCATCACAGTGACGCGATACCTTCCCAAGTGAGTCTTTGGGTATTTAAGGCTTTCAGCTGTTGGCGGTATAACACGTCATGCAAACACTTCTCTTTCTTCTTTTTTTAACTTTAACTTTATATTGCGATTTGGGTGAAATTTTACAAAGCAGATTCATTTTACATTCGACAGTTCATACACATTTTGTTTTGTGGTACTGGTTACATTCTCCCTTATATAATAGCTCCTCTCCCACTTCCTCCCTGTGATTTCTCATTCCCTGTGTCCTTCTTGCCTGTGCTTTCTGACCTCCCTATCTTTCTCCCTGTGCAAATGGTGCCCTTCTCACCTCCCATGGTAGATTGTTGTAAAGAGTGTTTCTCCCTGGTGTAGGTGTTCATCTCATAGGCCTGTATGTTTGACTGAGTGAAGCCACGGGAGTGAGTTTAATTTCAGAGCCATAGTCTCGGGGGTTTCACCAATCTCTGTTCAACTAGTAGCACTGGTCTTTTTATGATTTTGAGTTTGTTCCACATTTTTCTCCTACTCTATCCAGGATCTCCAATTTTGATCCCTTTCCGAGTGGTTGGCTTTGGTAGCTGGCCACCATGGAGTTCTTCTGGTCTCAGGGTTGTACAGGCTGAGGTTCTCATGGTACATGAGTCCTTTGGACTGTTTCAGTGCATCTTTGATTTTCATCACTCTTCTTTGCTTTGAATAAGGAAAGATCTGTAGTTGCATTGTAGATGGCCACTCACAAGCTTTTAAGAACCTGATGTCTACTCACCAAAGTAAGATGGAGAACACTATTTTTGCATATCATGTTGTACCAGTTGAGCTTGATGTCCCCTGTGACCATGGTCCCTAGCCTGCAGACCTGGCAAATCACTACCCCAAGGTGCATAGTTGTGGCTAAAAAGTTAGCCTAACTTTGCCTCCTGTTAAGTTTAAACTGCCTATGGACATTTTTATAGGAGCTCTGGTGGCGTAGTGCCTAAGGCACTTGACTGCTAACCAGATGGCTGGCAGTTCAAACCCACTAGCCACTCCTTGGAAGGGAGGTTGGGCAATCTACTGTCGTGATACCACCTCGGAAGTGAGTTTGGTTTTTATCTATAAAGCATGACCTTGACTATATCCCACTTTAATTGAGAGACTATCTCAAAAACAGATTTGACTCATTCACCGAAGATCAAGTGAGTGGTGGGATAGCATCAAGGACATCATACATGAAGAAAGCCAAAGGTCATTAAAAAGACAGGAAAGAAAGACTACACAAAAATGGACATCAGAGAATACTCTTAAACTCAGTCTTGAAGGTAGTGTAGCTAAAATGAGTGAAGGAAGTGATGGAAGAGCTAAACAGAAGACAAAGTATCAGAATGAAATATGCAAAGACATTTTTGTAGCACATTCAAATACATGTATAAGAATATCATCTGCCAAACCTATGTATGGTCGTGGATATATTCCCATTTGCCTATGCATACATAATTCAAACACTTAATTCAGAAAAGTTGAGTGGTTGGGTTTTCTTTCAGAGTTACTGTTTTGTTTTCTAAGATTATTTTAGGGTTATAGCTCACTTACCTCCAAAAGGAGCTTATGTTGTTAAATTTAATATGATTGCTAACAAACCAATTAAAAGTAAGGAGTGCAAGATGAGAGTGAAGAAGTTTAAGAAGATCTGAGAAATCTCCATTATCTGTTCCTGGGATGTGTCGGTTACTGCAGTTGATGGTGGGATACTAATGGTATTGAGACAGAATACAGGGAGAATTGGGGGGAATTCTCTTTTGGACTTGTGGGCATGCCCTTTGTTTTTCAGGTATCCTTATGAATCTGCCCAGATCCACTATACCTACAGCCTCTGCCCTTCCCACTCCGACTCAGAGTTTGTCTCTTGTTGGGTGGAGTTCTCCCACGAACGCCTGGAGGAATACAAGTGGAATTACTTGGATCAGTACATCTGTTCTGCTGGCTCCGAGGACTTCAGGTCAGAGAGAAGGCTTTGGCTTTCCGTGCTTGCTGCCTTGAGTGAC